GTCATTCCAGTGGCTTCCTTCACAGCAGTGATCTCATTAGATAAGAACTCCTCTCTCCCTGGGTGGGAGGGAGGGGGCGCTGGGAAGGCCTCAAGGTCAGAGCCCCATTCTGAGTCATCTCCACGTCCCCAGAACCTGGAACAGCTGCAGCCCTCAGTAAGTCCCAAAAGGGGGCCGCATTCCTGCCGATGACTCCTCCCTGGGTCTGGTGCTGTGTGAGGCCTTCATCTTTTATCGTCTCTTGTGACTCCCATCAGCTCTGCTAGGTTGGGATCATTATTTCCATCTTACAGAAGAGAAAACCGAGGCTCGGAGAGCATATGTGACCTGTCCAAGGTCACACAACCAGTGAGAGACAGAGGCAGAAGTCCTTTCATATTCTTCACATGGGAAACTGCGAAACAGTTTTATTGGACAAACATGGGTTGAGGATGACAGACTGGAACCTCTGTGAGGGCAGGGTCTTTACTTGCCCTTTGACCATTCGTGCCCTTGACAAAAACCTACCATATACCTGGCATAATGCTGTGTGCCAGGGGATCCAACTGAATGGATGGACAAGGTCCCTGCCTTTACAGAACTCATAGTCCAGCAGGGGAAACAGATGACATGTGTAAATAGACAACATATTTTCAAATAATGTTGCTGTGACGGAAATGCAAGACCATGGTTTGGAGCGACTGGGGATGGGTGGGTAGGGCTGCTTTAGAAGTATAATCCCGGAGGCCTCCTAGAGGAGGTGATATTGGAACTGAGACCTTCCTGGTGAACTGGGGCAAGGGCGGGGGGAAGAAGGATTTGGACTTTTTCAAGACCTGTGTTCCTCCAATATTGTGTGGGGATGGGGTGAAGGTGGGGTAGTGGAGATGGCTCTGGGGAGGCTGGTAAGGGTCAGATCATGTGGAGCTTGGAAGGTCATGGTGCTCAGTGCAGCAGGAAGATATTGGAGGGTTTAAGAAGAAGTGCTCTGATTTACATGTTAAAAAGAGGGCTCAGTGGCCTCCAGGAGAATGGATTGGGGCTGGGAGGTAGAAGTGGGAGCGTGGAGATTAAAGAAGGGAGGTCCAGGCACCAGATGTTGGTGGATTGGATTTCCATGTTGGCAGTGGGGACATGAAGAGTGAAGAGATTTGGGATATTCTGGGAGGTAGAAGCAACGGAACTTGCTGATGGCCTGGATCCCAGTGCCTAGAACACAGTAAACAATAAATATTTGTTGAATGGGTGAGCAAAGGCACCTTCTAGGTGGCAGGCTCTTGCATGCACCCTCTGGTGTAAGGAGTGTGTGAGGATCACCCAGGACCCTAAAGATCTTCTCTGCCCCCTGCCCTGGGGGCCAGAGAATACAGGCACTGCCCAGGGGGCTGAAAACCAGATGTTAAACTTCTGGGAGGATCTGGCTAGAAAGCAACTAATCCTCCCTCCTCTCCTTGATCTACAGCACCAAGAAAATGACAAACACCCAGCCTGGGCTGCTCCAGGCTCCTAACCCATTTGGCATCTGCAGCAGGAAGGATGGAAGTTAGACATGTAGGACTCCCCACAGGCAGAGAGGGCCAGTCCACCTTTTCCAGGATACCCCTCCAGGATCCATGACATCTACAACAGTGAGGTATTTGTCACATGAGCTCCGGGACAGACCCTGATAGAAGACTATCACATGGATTTGGGTGTCTTTGGAAACATGTTATGAGCTTCTGATGGGTATCTGGGGTGGGGTTGGGGGATTAAAAGGGGACCTTGGTACTCAGAGCTCTGGGCTGCCATGGATGCCTGGCTGAGTGTCAGTGGAGGGTAGGGCCTGAGGGAAGGACACTTCTGGGTCCCAGGGGCTGGAAGGAAACCTGACCAGGCTCTGGGCCAAATAAATCATTGGGAAGAGAAGAAGAACATTTTCTCATCTGTTTAAAGGGCAATGAAGCATGGCAGTGGCTGGCCCAGCGGGAGGCAGGGCTGAGGCCAGGCCAGTGAGGCCAGGGTTGTGCCCCTCGGACCCACTATCCCCTCCTGAGCTGCCCTGTTGAGGGCTGTGCTGCCTCCGGAATGGACCACCGGTGGTTGTCATTGTTAACCAAAATACGAATTAACTGGTACTAAAACAATGATTTAAACAGGCATCTTTCAGGAGCACAGATCTTGCTGCTCCATATCCCTTATGTCACTGGAGGCCGGGTGAGATCATTTATACCATTTCACAGGTAAGGAAACAGAGGCTCTGAAAGCTGGAGGGATTTTCTCAAGATCACCTCGGGAGGCAACGTGAGAGCATGGTAGAGAGCCTGACTTCTAGTTGCCCTTGGGGGATGGGTCCCCCACCTCCCGTCAGAGGTTCTAGAGGGAGCCCCAAATGGGGCTAAAGGGCTGGGAGTCACTGTCCTTTGCCCAGTCTTTGTGTTTCAGCGGAGGGGTGGGCGGGAGGTATCCCTTTCTTCTGCCTAAACCCTCCGTGCTCAGGCTCTGACTGGGGCCCCTTCCCTTGCCCAGTCTCTGTCCTAGGCTCCCTAGAGGCCCTTCCTGGGGCTTAGACTTGTTCTTCCCACCCCCGCCTGGGCTGTCAGAGAAGTAATTTCTCTTCAACCAGCTGGATTTGAATATGGAAACGATCTGTAATTACTCCAAGTCCTCCCGGGCGGCATTATCACCAGAGTGAGTCTGGAAGGGCAGGGGCTCCTGGGAAAGGAGGTGGGGAAGCCCTGATGCGGGGAGGCACCTTCAGGAGAGCCTTCCAGAGGTTGGCCCTAATCTAGCCTGCTGCTGCACAAGCCCTGGGAGGTCTGTTCTCTCTCCCCAGCTCCCGCAGCCCTTGCTGCCTTGCTGACCTCGCCACCCTGCCCCGTGAGCCCCCAGGTATGGGGGTACCATCTCTGTCAGTCCCTCACTCTGTCTGACCACCTGTCTTTCCCAGGGCATACATTTTTGTGGCTGAAAGAATGGGGTTGAGAAGTCAGAGGGCTACCAAGGAACACAGAAACAGACAAAAGGCTGCTGTCTCTCCAGAGCCAGCCCCTCCCGTTACCCCTGCACCCAGCTGGATCCTGGGGGGAGAGGGAGGGCCTCAGGGATCCAGCTGCATTACATCTGCAAGAGACCTGCCTGGGTTTCTCTGGGCTCTGGGTCTCTAGTATGCTAATTCAATGAATATTCATAAAGAGGGAGGCAGGCTCCCTGTGGGAGTGGAAGGGGCTGGAGCTCTGGAGTACAGGGTCCTGGAAGCTTCTGAGGACCTGTCCTTACATCCTTGTGCGTACCTCATATCCTGACCACTCTCCCCACCTTTGCCCACCTCATTAAGGCCGAACTCCAGCACCCCCCACTGCCCTTCGCAATGCCCAAGTAAGGAGGCCTGGGATCTCCCACTGTAGATGGCAAGGCCTGCCTTGGCTTTCACAGTAGCGGCTGAGCCTCCAAACCCAGAGACCTGGGTATGTTTGAGAGTGCCCAGCAAGAACCCAGGAGCCCTGCCTGCCAGTGCCAGGCTTAAGGCACAGGCCTCCTTGGGCTCCCGCTGGGAAAGGATAGGTGCCAGCCCTCCTCCCTGTCTCATACAGCCTCATAAATTCCCTTAAGGTGACAGGTGAGATTCCTTCATCGCCCCTTATTACCTCCTTCCATTAAAGTCGATAATCTCTCACAATTACTCACAACAAATGTCACGGAGACTGCTGGAGGGGGGGAGAGAGAGACAGAGGGAGTGAACAGGGGGCTTTCTCTCTGCCTCTTCCTGGTACTGCCCCCAGGGGGACATGGAGTCTTCTCGTCCTGCCCTGGTCTCCAAGGTGACACAACTCAAGGGGCTTCAGTGGAGAGGTGGGGTTGGGATTGGGTGGACTGGAGCTTCCTTGCTTCCCAGGCTTAGCCCTCTCCTGGCCAGGGAACCTTCAAAAAGTAGGGTTCCTGAAATCATCCCAACCCTCACTGCAAAGCTGCCCCCTGCTGGCTCCTCCTCTGACCAGAGCCATCTGATTAACCTACTTGTCTTTGGCCGAAGTGGTGCGTCCCTGGTCGGCCCACCTTCCTGGTGGCAATATGTCCCAGGCCACAAAACCACCGGACCAGGGCCCTGAGCCATAGGCATCTCCCTGGGAACCACCTTCACCATGTGGGCTCTGGCCCCACCCAACTGCACAGTGCCAGGCTGGGGAGGGGGCAGGTCCGTACATTCCGTCTGCTTCTACGCAAACAGATGCAACATGGGGGCGCCCCTGGCACAGGAAAAGGCACTTGTGGGAATAGACAGGCACTCAGGAAAACATGTAACACACTGCACACGTGTAGCATCCCCGTGCCTAGGGACATGCAACATTGCAGTTTACACTAGAGTATGCACCAAGCATACCACACTGCAGTGTACATATGTGGCTCCTACATACAAGTGACCCAGAGCATTCAGCACGTATGCGGCGCTTGTAAGCTTGAACACATATAGCATCTCTACCCATAGGAAGAGCCAACATACATTCCAGACCTGAGCACATGTTAACACACTGTGTATGTGTGTAGCAATTGCATGCACACAGCCAGGCGACATTGCAGTGCACACATAGGGCACCTGTGTGCATAAGCATATGCAAAGTTCAGCGCACAGGAGTGGCACCTGAATGCACAGGGATATGCAATTTGCAATGCACACGGGGGAGGGTGGGGCAAATGTTTCAGGCCCCCCCACCCCCCACCCCGGGCCCCGGAGACCCTGGCTGCGCGAGCTGCCTCCGGCCTGGGGTATCGCTGGAGGGGCGTCGCGGATCGCCGCAACCTGCGGTCCAGGAGGCCGCGGGCGGGGCGGGGGCTTACCCGGGGCTTCTCCCGCGCCGGCGCCTGGGGCCCAGGGCGGGGAGGAGGAGGGTGCGCTTGGCTCGGCGGGCGCTGCTCCCCCTTTAACAGGAGGCGGCGCGCGTCGCCCCCGCCCCCCGCCCCTTCTCCCGCGGCTCCTCGCGCCCGGCCTGGCGCGCGCCCCCTCCCGGGCCCAGCCCGCGCAGGCGCCGCGTCCCGCCTCGGCCGTCAGTCGGCCCGGCGCGCGCTGCGGGCAGCGGCCGGAGCGGCGGGAGCGGCGGGAGGAACCGGGTTTGGCGACGGCAGTGGCGGCGGCGGCGCTCGGAGACCGAGGATGCGGCGCCGTCTTTTGGAGCCCGGGGCTGCGGCCGCCGCCCGCGAATAGGAGGCGGCGCGCGGCGCGGGCGCTGCTCGGGGCGGGGGAGCGGGGGGGGGCGGCGCGGCGAGGAGGCGGTGGCAGGAGCCCGCGCCCGGCCCGGCGCCCGCCCGCCCCGTGCTGCTCCGCGGCGCCTTTTCTGCACCCGCCGCTCGGCGGAGCGGGAGCCTCGGCCCCTCCGCGCCGCTGCCGCGAGCTGCCCCGCGTCCGGCCAGGCCCCCGCCTTAGGGATGGCAAACTTGCGCCCCGTGGCTGCCTCCGCCAGCGCCGGCCCCCGCTCCTGCTGCTGACGGCGCCCAGGTGAGTGCTCGGTCCCAGACCTCGACACGGCCCCGCACCGAGCCCTCCCGGCGCGGTCCCGAGTTTCCGCACCGGCCCGGACTCGGGGCGCTCCCCTAGCCCATCTCTGTTGAATCCTCCCCCTCCCGAACTGAGTTCTTTCTGCATCTACCCACTCCCATCTCTTTGGGAACTTCCAAGCCTGGGGCCGAGGCCCCTTTCATCTCTGGTGAGTTCCTTTTCCACCCCCTTCCCCTTACCCCATTTCTGCTAAGCCCTCCCCCACAATCCTGACCCAGACCTTACCCTCATTGCTGTCTCGAGTCTCTTCCTGTCTTAGCCTGGATCCTGGCAGTGCGCCCCCCACCTTGATTAGAGCCCCTTTCTCCAACCTGCAGCTCGACTGTGTATTTCCCCTTAATCGCCCCTCCTCGTCTGGATGCCGGACCCTGCTCCTTCCCTCCACTTCATCTCTGCCCAGAGTCCTTCCTATGCCCATCCATGTCTGCCCATAGTTACTGCCTTTCCCCGCGCCAGTACCCCGACCATGCTTCCCTTCTTATTTCTGTCCCGATGCCTCCTCCCCCATATCTGCCTGGAGTCTCTCTATCCCTCGCCAATCTCTGCTGCAAGTCTCCTCCCCCTCAGCCTGGACTTGGGGCCGTGTCCCCCATGTCTGCTCCGAGCCCCCTCCTCTCCGGCCGGGATCTCGACTGGCCCTGCATCCCTGGCTCCCGTGTCCATCTTTGGTCGGAGTCTGTCCATCCCCCATCCTTCTCTTCCCACCCCTGGGGCATAGAGCCGGGGACCAAACGCACCCTCCCGCAGCCCCGGGGGCTGGCATGACGGGGCGGGGGCCGGGGGAGGGGTTGTAGGTTGTGAAGTTGGCGGCCACTCCCGCAGTCAGCTCGGTCCGAGGGAAGTCCTCTGCGCCGCGGACGGTGCAGAGCGGGCGAAGAAGGGTCTGGTGCCCGCGGGGGGAGGGGCTCCCGGGCCAGAGATACTGCCCGCCTGCCCGCCTCGCCAGCTGCCGGCCGGGCCCCTGGGCGTCCTCTGGCGCCCCCTGCCCGCAGCCCCGGACCCGCCGCCCCTTTTCCTCCCGCGGGTAACCCCAGGTTTCCGCAGCCGGAGCAGCAGCGGTGGCTGCGGGACTGGCGCTGGGAAGTCCCTGGGGAAGAGGAGGTTGGCGGGCGAGGCCGGATGCCCCCTCCTGCTAGCCGTGCGGGAACAGTTCTGGTTGTCAGACCCTATGCTCTGGGGGCGGGGCGGGGTGGGGTGGGGTGGGGTGGAGGGCTCATCCCAGCAGGGATTCAGGAGCCCTTTGAGCTATCAGGGACAGACCAGCAGGATTGGCCCCTGGATTTGAGATGGTCTGGATGGGCTTGTTTGGGCTTGGGCAGGTGTCCCCAGGGAGCCTCTGTCTACCCCATGGCAGTCCCCACTAGGTGGTGGGTGGGGGCAAAGGTGGGCTCAGTCTGGTTTGGGCATGGCATAGGCGGGGGAGTCCACCTGGCCCTGGGACAGCGCAGGCACCTGGGGAGTGTCCCCCTTGCTGCCATAGGGGTCAATGTGGACTCTGGATGGGGTATGTCCTGATGGTGGTGGTGGGAGGCTTAAGGGAGGGTCTTCCCTGGACTGAGACTGACAGATTTCCCCCTCGTCTTCCCTTCTCTGCTCCCCTCTTCGGCTCCCCCTCTCCCCCATCACTCTTCAGAAAGGGAGAGGTCTAGCCTGGGGTGGTTGTGTACGTGGTAGGCATTTCTGTAACTCAAAATGAGGTCTCAGATGGTCTCTGCACTCTTCTCTCCCTCCCAACGCCCAGGTAATGGAGCTGAGTAAGTAGTTAGTAACTCAGCTTTTGGCCAGGTGACCTGGGTTCAAAAGCTGTGTGACCTAGGCAGGCTACATAACCTTTCTGAGCTTCATTTGGCCCTCTATAATATGGGTCAGTGATAAGTGCTTTATATAGTTGCTGGGAGAATGAAATTAGATTGTACAGAGTGTCTGGCACCTAGTAATGCTCAACAATGATTGGTTTATTGGGCTGTCTTCAAGGCCAAGGTCAGGCCCCTCTCCACACTACTCCTATTCCCAGAGGAGAAGTGCAGAACAGGTTCTAGTGACTTCACTCTAACCCCCAGGATAATAAAGCCAGAAACCACCCAGCTCCCAGAGTGGGTCCACGGAGCCTGTGACTGTCAGCCTCTCCCCTCCCTCACCCATCCTTCACCATCTGGGTGCTCTGGATCTGCTGGACTGCTCTGGGATCAGCTCTGGCCAGAGGGGCATCAGTGACAGCCAGGCCAAGGTCTCTGAGGTCCTGGTTCAAGTAGGGGAGGTAAGATAAATGCAGGGAAGAAACCCAAGTCAAGGTCCCCAAAGGTAGGCTTGCCTGTTAGGGGGGCCCACGTGGGAAATCAGCACCAGAGGAGCACATGGTGCTCAGAGGAACCTCTTACCTCTCCCCAGGGGGTCAGACCGCCATCAGGAACTTTCCAGGACAGTTAGTGCTCCAGGTCAGAGTTAGGGGGCGACCCGGCCTGAGGGCCCCAAGAGTTTGAAGAAACCTGGCTTTGCCGGGAGTGGCTTGGTGAAGGGCGGGTAAGGGGGAGAGAGGCGGCTCGAATCCGTGGCGTTCTGCTGCAGGAAGTCCTCTGGGCAGTGTGGCTGGGCCTGGGTCCCACCGGGGAGTGGCAGCCTCCCAGCCTCCAGCCTGCCCGGGCAGCCCTGACATTGGGGAACAAAAGCTTTCGGTTCCTGTAGCAACGGCGGCTCCAGCTGCTGCAAAGTTCCGGGGAGGCGGGCGGAGGGCGGCTGAGTCACCGCCCCCTCCCCTCGCGGGCCCGCCCCCCGTCTCCCTCCCCCGCGGTGGGCGGGAGGGCCCCTCCCGGGACCGAAAGACCCCTGAGCTAGAGGAGGAGCGGCCTTCTGGGCCGGGTGGAGAAGGCGGGGCCGCACTCGGGGGAGCCCCCTCCCCTCGGTCCTGCCCACCAGCTCCAGAAGCTGGACGGAGGTGTGCGCCCTCCTGGGTACCAGAGCTCCCGGAGAGGGGTCCTTGAGGACCCTGCCACCCGGCCAGTGCATGGGCACGGGACCCGAAGGCTCCGAGTGGGGGGTCCCCGCCCGCGTGGCGGCCTGGGCTCGGCCCCGCAGTGAGCGCCCGGGAGGCGGAGGGTGAGTGACGGGCCGGCGAATTGGAGCTGCCAGGTGGATAAACGCGACCGCGGTGCGCACCGCCGCGCCCCTTCCCCCCCCGCCGCCCCTCCCCCGCCCGCGGCCGGGGCTCCCGGCGCTCCGCCACCCAGCGCCGCTGCTCCCAGCCCACAGGGCGCAAGGGGCTCGATTCCGGGGATCCCGGAGACCCAGCCCTTGCCCTGAGGTGCCCCCCGTCCCCGCTCTTGTCCCTGCCAGCTGCTGCGAAAGCCTCCGATTCCCTCACTGGGGCCGAAGGGGAAGCCCGAGGCCGGGCGGGCCTGTGGGGTCTCAGTGTGCTTGGGCAGAGGGTGGGATTCTCAGGTCTGCGGGCGGGCGGGCGGCAGGCATGCGGGGGAGGTCCCGTGTCCACCCCACCCCACCCCCTCCCCGGCAGCTCACACATCTCAGCCCGCTGAAGTCCTGAGGGAGGAGGCCTTTTGATTATCCTCGCCATTAACCTCCTGACCCAGGAAGTTCTTCCTCAGAGCTGAGCTCCATACCTGTCCTCTCCAGCTCTTGGGCACGTTTGTGATCTTACTGGGCTTGGAGGTGGCAAAGCCATTTCCGTGGTTCAGCCCAAAGCGCCCTTCCCAGAGATAGCGATGGACCTCAGCAGGGAAGCAGGGAGAGTCTGTGAGGTTCCCAGGCGGAGGGGAGAAGGCGAAGGGACCGTGTGAGTGCTCTGCCTGGGCCAGGCTCTGTGCCGGGAACTCACTGGGAGGTTGAATGAGAAGGTGGTCTCCATTCCCCAGAGGGGGAAACTGAGGCTCAGGGAGGGGGGATCATGGCTAATAGCCACCTGCGCAGCCTGTGAGGTAAGGATCCTTCCAGGTCCCCTCCCAGGAGAGGCTCTCTCTGACTTAGCTTGGAATTGTGCTGTTTGCCTTATTTTATGGATGGAGAAGGATATTAAAATAAAGGGCCCCAGAGGTCTTATGTCACCACAGGAACCACGAGGGTCATACAGATGCAGCGTGAAATTCCAGAATTGGTGTGAAGGGGGTGTCTGAAGGAGACTGATTGGAGGAGGGGGCTTGGGCAGGGTTTCGAGGTGGCTGGGTTGTGCAGAAGCCAGGCTGTGTCTCTGAGGGTCTGGACCTAACACTTCTTGATGGGTCGGGGCTGTGGAGGGAGCAGCTGAGGACCAGGAGGTGGGATTGCGGGGGGAGGTCTGAGTCCCCAGCTTCAAGAACAAACAAAGGAAGGAGCAGCAAGTCAGATCCTGCCTGACACTTAGCTGGCATGTGCTAAGCCTCAAACAGCCAGCTACCTGTGTGTGTGTTCACACGAGAGAGTACATTTGCCTCTCTGTACAAGTGTACAAGTGGCCGGCTCTTTACACCTTGTACATGTGAGTGCCTGTACCCTGGTGTGCGTATGAATTCACGCATCTGTGGCTTCACTGATCTGTGTGCGTATGTGTCTGTTCACATGTAGAATGCCTGGGAACACCTGTCTTTTCATGTGTCTGTGCATACGTGCTTTTGTGTGCATGTCTGCACGGCACGGCAGTGTTCCAGCTTCTGTGTGTGTGTGTGTGTGTGTGTGTAGATTCCGCACCCTGCTCTAAGTGGGGGAGGTGAGGCCAGTTATAATGAGCCCCCACCTCCCCTCTGCTGAGCTGCAGCTATGGCCTGAATTTTGCAGCCTGCTTAAAAATAATTGGGGGCAGCGGGGGGATTGGATGTCACTCATTATCAGCTCCCGGCTTCGCTGGTGCTGCAGCAGGCTGGGCGGGCTGGAGAGTTTGGGACACGCATGATGTGGGGCAGGGAAGGCCAGGGCTCTTGTGTCCCTTTTTCAGTTCTGGCGGGAGAAGTGGAGACACAGCCTGTTCTGACATCTGCCCAGTAACTCCACGTGGGTCTTTGGAGGAGGCTGGGGTGCTCTCCAGGAAATGAGCCTGCCTTGAGCTTGTCCCCCTATGCCCCCTTTATCCCATGGCTGGGGAGGGGCAATTGCGGGATCTGGGGCAGTGAGAAGTTCCACGGATGCTGCGCAGGGATTGGAATTCTGGGGTTCTAATTCCTGCCCTCCCCCCCCCCTCCAGTCACTGTTGAGGCTCCTAAAGAGCCAAGGGGAAATCTGTGCCTGGGGAGCCTCTGGGTCTTGGGAACATCTGGCCACATCTGTGAATTATCCTGTTTGTGACTCAGTTCCCAGGGCTAATGGCTTGTCCATCAGGCCTGAAGCCTGGGCAAGGCAGGGGACGCGGAGCAAGAGGCTATTGGTGGATGAGAGGGAACCCCGGGCTGGGGCTTCGGGTCCCGGCTTCCAGTCCCAGCTGGATCACTCTTGTGTGATCTTGAGCAGGTCGCCTCCCCTTTTGGAACCTCATCTTTTCTCCTCTAATGTGGAGCAACCAGGCTCTAGGGGCCCATCCAGTGCTGTGAGCTATGCTGCCGGCACGGAGGAGGGAGGCAATGGGGATCACCTCGGGCGCAGGGCTGGAAGCAGGACGGAGCCAGCCCAGGTGCCAGGCTCTGTTTTCTGGACAGCTAGGGTGGAGGCTGTGCAGGCTGTGGGTAGTGGCTCTGGCCTGGCCCGGTGGGTGGGAGGGTACCTGCAGGTGCCCTGCCCGCTAGGTTTTGTCCACTCGGGCCTGACCGCCCTGCGCGTCTGTCACGGTATGGCCTGAGCCCTGGTTGCCTGCCCACACCTGGAGCACATGCTGGGGGTTCGGCTCAGTGCAGCACTTGGCAGGGAGGGAGAAATCAGTGAACCCCGGTCTCCACTCCTAGGAGCTTGAAGACTCCTGAGATGAATGAGCTAGCTCGGGGGAGACAACAGGGGATAGAGGTGCTGACTGGGGCTATGGACTTGCAGGCAGGGGCTGCGGGAGCTGCGAGCTGGGCGATAGCTTGGTGGCCTTACTGGGGTAGCGGCCCTGAGCCAGGCCTTGGACGATAACCCCATGGCAGGAAGGGAAGAGGGGTTAAGGGGAATACTGCACCCATTTTGCAGGTGCCTCGCCCTGTTGTTTCCACCAGGAAATCCACCACAGCGGTACTCATGACATTCACACTTGCGATGCCCCCCAGGGGCATGGCTCAGGTTGTGCGCAGCCCCTGGCACACCGGTCGTAACTCCTCCCCTTTCTCGCCCACTCAGTAAAAGCAGGCGAGTGAGAATGACATTGTTCCGGGAATAACCTTGAATTGCTCTGATTTATAAAAAAGCAAATCGTTGTCAAACATTGCTCCTTTGACAATTACCGCTGGATTACGCGTGACACGCCTCACAGCTGATCACGATACACTGCGACTGAGAGCAAGGGTTCTGGAGAATTCCAGTTGGGTGGTGGGGATGGGGCTAGATCCAAGTGTCAGGCCGGGTGCCTTTGGCTGGTGGGACTGACCGAGGAATCACAGGGTGACAGAGACAACAACGGATGTTTCTTAAGGGCTTCCAGAGTCAGGCACTCTCCCACGTGCCTACATTTTACATGTAAGGGGACTGAGGCTCTAAGCAGTCGAGTCCCCTGTCTAAGATCACACAGATGGAGGTGGGTGACTTCAAAGTCTTCCCTGAGAGGCCCACCCCCGGCAGCGAGGAGGCCGCGGGAGACTGAGAGCTCATGCTGGTAGTGCCTGGGACCGCTGACCGCCGTCTCTCTCCACAGGACAAGGGACATAGGATGACCCCAGCCTGTCCCCTCTTACTATCTGTGATTCTGTCCCTGCGCCTGGCCGCCGCCTTCGACCCCGCCCCCAGCGCCTGCTCCGCCCTGGCCTCGGGCGTGCTCTACGGGGCCTTCTCACTGCAGGACCTCTTTCCCACCATCGCCTCGGGCTGCTCCTGGACCCTGGAGAACCCTGACCCCACCAAGTACTCCCTCTACCTGCGCTTCAACCGCCAGGAGCAGGTGTGCACCCACTTTGCCCCCCGTCTGCTGCCCCTGGACCACTACCTGGTCAACTTTACCTGCCTGCGGCCTAGCCCAGAGGAGGCGGTGGCCGGGGCGGAGGCAGAGGCGGGGTGGCCAGAGGAGGAGGAGGAGGCCGCAGCGGGGCTGGAACTGTGCAGCGGCTCGGGCCCCTTTACCTTCCTGCACTTCGACAAGAACTTCGTGCAGCTGTGCCTGTCGGCAGAGCCCTCGGAGGCCCCGCGCCTGCTGGCGCCTGCCGCCCTGGCCTTCCGCTTCGTTGAGGTCTTGCTCATCAACAACAACAACTCCAGCCAGTTCACCTGCGGCGTGCTCTGCCGCTGGAGTGAGGAGTGCGGCCGTGCCGCCGGCCGGGCCTGTGGCTTCGCCCAGCCGGGCTGCAGCTGCCCCGGGGAGTCAGGGGCTGGTCCCGCCACCACCACCACGCCTCCAGGCCCTCCGGCTGCCCACACTCTGTCCAATGCCCTGGTGCCCGGGGGCCCGGCCCCACCCGCTGAGGCCGATTTGCATTCAGGGAGCAGCAATGACCTGTTCACGACCGAGATGAGATATGGTGAGTCTGAGCAGGGCCCTGGTGGGGTTGGGTGTGCCCAGGGGGCCCTCTGGGGCCCGTCTTGGCAGATCCCCAGGCCATTCGTATGGTCCTTCACCCGTGTCCCCTCTGTGTCTGTCTTTGTCCCGATGTTGGGGTTCCCTGAAATGGATTTGGGGTTAAACCTCACTCTCGAAGAGTTTGCAGTCTAGGTGGGTGAATGGGGGGGGGCAGAGATCGGCCAATGCGGTGTGGTGAACCCAGGGAGAGGACTCCCCACACTGGGCAATCAGGAAGGCTTCCTGAAGGAAGTGATACAGGAGCAGAGATCTGAAGGACAAGTGGAAGCCAGCGAAGCCAAAGAAGCGGGGAAGGCATTCCGGGCAGAGGGAGCAGTGCGAACAAAGGCCCCAAGCTGGGAGTGACCGTGGCAGGTCCTGGCACTGCAAGTTGACAAGTTTGCCTGGAGGCTGGAGAGTAGGCAGGGAGCAGGGATGTGTTCCTGTCCTCACAGGTCAGTGATTTTTGGCAGTGGCCCCAGGGTCAGGGCAGAGGGCGGTGCCCAGGTGAAGAGGCCTGGGCTTCAAGGCTGCCTTGGAGGGCTGGGCTGGCTCAGCTCCCAGCATCCCCTCTCTCCCCCTCTGGGCCCATGTCTTCTGGGACCGAGGCTGCCAGCAGCTAGAGCTTCCTGCTGACTGGGCAAAAGCTCTGCGAGCCCTGAGTCCTACATGCTCTTGCTCCCACCCCAGTTCCCTCACCACAGCCACCTTTTGCCGGCCCTCCTTCCTGCAGCTTCAAGGCCCCTAGCCCCTCATCTGGATCTCATGTGCCTGCCGCACAGTGCCGGGCCCGAGACTGGCCAGGGGGCCTGGCAGGAAGTGGGTGGGGGGGAGGCAGATCTGGGTTCCGGTCCCCAGCTCTGGTATTAAAAGGGAGTTCCCTTCCCTCTCCGGGCCTCGGTTTCCCCATTTGGGGTAACAGGTCCTGGCCTACCATCATGAGGATGTCATGCAGGGCTGGAAGTCAGAAGAGGCATCTAGGTCTGCCTGAGAGTATTTACAGGGAGGCAAGGGGTCTTGTGTGAGGGCCACTAGGCGTGTTGGAGTATGACCTGTCCCCGCCCCTGCTTTGGAGGCCAGAGCCCTGGAGTTGGGCACTGCCTTTGACTGTTCCCTTCAGCGGATCCCATTTTTTGGCATCAGTTTCTTCATCTGTAAAACGGGGAGATATCTCTGAATTAATTAGAGGGGCTAGTTATCATGACAGCAGCCTCTCCCAATGCAGTGTGGAGGGGGCTTTCAGTCTCCCCCAGGAGACATCTGGCACCATGCCTGTCCATGGCGAGTGCCCAGTGGCCTTGCTCTGGCCTCTCCCCCTGGCCAGCTTGGCCTTTAACATTGGTCGATGAAGCCGTCCGAGTGACAGCAGGCCGTGGGCAGGTTATGGGCCTTGGAGGCCGGCCTGGGATTTAGTGCCTGCAGGAAGAAATTGAATTTTGCTTCTTTGTCGAACATCGGCGGAGAGCGCCAGGCGTATATCAGGAGGTTTATGGTTCTTCCTGCCTGGTGGTCACTGCCTATCACTCTGTGGGGGCCTCCCCCATCATGCTCAGCAGAGGGCAGCCTCTTTTGTCTGGCTTTCCCTGTGGTCCCTTGGCCCAGTGGTCCGCAGTGGATGGAGCAATGCTTTACCCTCATGGGCGGGCACATCTGGGCAGGCTGCCATGTGGAGCACAGAGCCAGGAGCAGCCAGCTGGGCTTGGTGGAAGCCGGAAGGAGGAGTTGGTTGATAGTTGGGGTGTCTTTGGGGGTCAGGGAGGGCTAGTGATGGGAAGGCCACCATGGTCCCCATCATCATCACAGCCTCTGCAGGGGCCTCTGAGACTGGGGATGGGTGGAGATTGGATGCTGCCTGTCCCTGGGCATGAGGCCTGGTATCATCTCTGAGCAGGGAGCCCTAGGCTCCCAGCTGTTCCATGCCTGACCTCAGCTCACGCCCCTTGTCCTGCTTGGCCTGTTTTCAGGCTGTTCGTGGGGGTTGCCTGCAGGGAGGGCCCTTATGGGGAGTTGGAGGGGGTGAGGTGACATTGTCTTCCTAAGTGGGCTTGCACAGCACCCTGCTGCCCAGACTTCCTTCCTCTCCCCTGGCAGGCAAGAGACTTTTCCTCTCTGCCATCTCCTCCCTTCTGCCCAATCTCTTAGGGGCAAGAGACAATGGACATAGGGCTCAGTTCGTTCCATGTGTCAGGGGACGTCTGAGAGCCAGGGCATCATCAGGGCTCAGGGCACTTTATGCCTGGTGGCAGCGCCGCCCCTGGCCCACCGGGCCGGCTGGACACAGGTACCAGCCACGGGAGAACCGGCTCACACATGGAACTGCCAGATGGAGGACAAGATTGGTGGTGAGCAGGAAGAGGAGAACCCTTGTCCCAGCCCCTCTGCTAGGTACTGCAGCAGGGGAGTTGTGCTCCCCTTCCCTGGGATACCCGGAGTAGAGTCAGTGGCCTGGCCAGGTGGAGTGGGGCTGGGTTGCTACTGGGAGAGCCATGAGGCCGGGAGCTGGTGGGCCACGCCGGAGTGCAGTTTGACAAGAGGGCACGGGCGCCTGTTAATTTCACGCAAACTGCCTTTGATAGATCTCTTGTTATTTTTGGTGAGTTGAGCCATAAATTTGTGCCATCTTGCTGCCGCAATCTGTTAAGTGGGGAGAGAGGAAGAAAAGGAAGGCAGGCAGGAAGGAGCTTGGTGGATGCCGGCTGAGGCCGGGGCGGGAATCGGGGGGAAGAGGTAGAGCTGTCACCCTGCAGTTCCTGCCCACAGACCCTGAGACCTGATGAGGCCCTGGCCAGGGGTGTTGGCTGTGCCGAGTGATACCTGGGAGAAGGGGTCTTTTGCTCTGGCAGCCCTCCCCCTCCTCTCCCACACGCCCTGCCCTCCCCAGAGCCACTGTCCCATCCTTGGCCAGTTGCTGCTCACCCACCTCCCCATCATCCAGGCTCCATTCCTGAGGCAAGAGTTCAAATCCCCACTCTGCCACGGCTGCTGGGTGACTTGGACAAGGGGGCTGCCCCTGGGGGCCTCAGGACCTCCCGTCATCTGTGCATCACTTCCCTGATCCAACCACCAGACTCCCCATCATGGCCCAGACTCTTGAGCCTGGCCTTCCAGCCCCACCCCAGACCCCGCTGCCCCCTGCTATTCAGCCTTCACTCCAAATCTGTCCTGCCCTTGACTGGGGCTCCTGACTGGCTCTCCGAGCCCCTGCTTTCTGGACTCCCTGCCTTTGCTTGGGATGTTTCCCTCACCTGGAATGCCCTTTGCCCTTGGTTATCCAGATCTTCCCCATTCTTCCCAGCGCTGTTCAAGCCCTGTTTCCTCTGGGAAGCTACTTCTACCTGCCCAACCCAGTCCTCGATTGGTCCTTCTCCTCCCAGTGCTCAGGCCCTGCTGTCCTCTTCTGGCCAGCCTCATCTGGTGGCAGGAAGTGCAGCCTTACCTGCTTGTTTGGGGCTCAGACACTGGGGAGGCCGGGCCTCTCTCAGGGCGGGAGCAGGAGGGCAGGGAGACCTAGCAAGGCTATACATTTCCTAGAAGGACCTTCCAGCCCCAATCTGTGCTGCTGGAGCTCTGTGTGCTCCGTCACAGGATGGGGAGGGGGGCCCAGATTCCTGAGACATCGCAGCAGGGGCCCAGTTGCAGCCCATCCATCACGCACATCTTCATGTCTCTATCAGGGTGGAGTTTGTGCCAGGCCTTGGGTCGGCTCTGAGTGAATGAGATCCGAGGTGAACCAGACACACCTCCTGCCCTCTGATGGGGGAGCGTGACCACTAGTGTATGGCTTTCAAGGTCAAGGCCACAGGCCGAAGTCGCCCAGCCCTGGGTTCAGTTCCCAACCCCACTACTGACTAGCTGTGTGACTGTGGGCAAGTTTCTTCACCTCCATTTTATCACCTGTAAAATGGGGCTAGTAGAGCTATTCACAGAGTAATTAAGCAAGAGACTGTGGGTCAGTGCTTAGCACAGTCCCTGGCACATGGTTAATCCCTAATAAATCACTGCATGTTGTCCTAATTTAGTGCAGTAGGTATGAGGTACATGGGCTAGATGTCAAGGGAGCAGGAAGAGTGAGGGATTCAACCACAAAGGGGTGGGAAGGCCGTCTAAAGGAGGTGATTCTGAGTTGAGTTTTGAGGAGTGAATAGGAGTTCACTGGCCCGTGAAATATTTTTTAATTGAATTGCTTTTAAAATTTAATATATTAGGAAGAAATTTCACATCATAAATGGGAAAGGAGTATCACTTATTTGAAGTAGAGGATAAGAGAAGAGACAACCATAGTGAAAACAAAGTGACAGTAGTAAATTCTCGCTAGCTGCTCGTCTCTCCTCTCGATTTGTTAGAAAGAGAAATGAGCATGTGCTGGGGACATGTTGAAGGCTCGGACTGCACAGAGACTTTATCTTTTTTTTTTTTTTAAGATTTTATTTATTTGACAGAGAGAGAGACAGCTAGAGAGGGAACACAAGTGGGGGAGTGGGAGAGGAAGAAGCAGGCTCCTGGCTGAGCAGGGAGCCCGATGTGGGGCTCGATCCCAGGACCCTGGGATCATGACCTGAGCCAAAGGCAGACGCTTAATGACTGAACCACCCAGGCGCCCCCAGAGACTTTATCTTGCGTGCATTTGGAAGGATTAAAAGTAAAGCAGCCGTATAATTTATCATCTAAACTGGGACATTTGTGAGGTTTTAAAGCAGGGGAAGGGGTCCTATTACTTGCATCAGGGCAGGCACAAACTAGACCACTGCAGGCAGATAGATTGGCAGGAAGTCACCCTAATTAAAAAAGAGACCTGGAAGGGGGAACTACCTCAGTCCATGATCCAGGGTTGTTTAATGGCACGTTTGTGAGCCACCCCAAGTCATTTCCTACCGCATGCTTTGGGCAACCCTGCAGGAGGGAGCAGCCCATGCAAGGACATGGAATTGTGAGCGTGTCAGTACAGGGAGGTCTAGTGGACTG